AGTGTTTTAACTATGTTTGTATGATTGACACCTATAACTTCACAACATTAACAAAATCCTTCCAAAACATAAAATCATGATAAATAAGGTATAATAACAGATAAAATGCTTGATAAAAAGCAGATGAAATCATGTAAAGTTGACACTTGTCATACCTATCTTTAAATGTGTGACATGAGTATCAAAAAACTCTCCGAGCATCTTCATCATTCCCATGTACTATGATAGTTTGGTATTCTCTTTTTGAATGGTAGATACCCACTTGGACAAGATCTTTAGTTCAATCTCGGCCTTATCTCCTCTGCTAAGGCAACCTGATCCTCAAACACACTCTCTCTTGCCTTGAATTATTTAGCCTTTATATTTGCTTTTAGTGCTCTAACTTTTATTTAAAGATAGAGAGAAAACATGTGATGTGTAGCTGTGAGTCCAAGTAGCTGATATTGGTCGACAATGTGACATAAGTCTCTAGGTCGGTTGCTATTCAAGAACTTTGGTAAGCTTTCCGACCAAAGCATATCCATAATGATCGAAGTGTACTCATCCATCCCCAGAGCTTGCTAGAGTCTAGGATGAGAAAAACTTTCAATCTCTCCTCTTAAAGCAGAATCCAGTAATCCTTATCTCCTTTATATTTCTTCTTTGGAGGTAAGGGGTGGGAGGAGTCAAAATCTTTGGCTTGAGCCTTGCCATTCCTCTGATGCTCTTCTTATTCAAAAAAGGTCAGCCTACACTCTAAATTAGTTTCTGGTTTAGAGTAGTTCTTGGTTCCTCCTCCTCACTCTATAGATCTCTCCTTCAAGCTCTCCACTTCCACTTGTTTCACCACTGCAACTAGTGACCGTAGAGAAAGCCTGTTCACCTCTGCTTTCTCAGATAGAGGGATGAAGCTTGAGAAAGACGGTTAAGGAGCTCCGTATGTCAATGATCAATCTGATGATCCCTCTATATTCAATCCAATGATGTTAGATGTTTGTTTCTCCTCTTGGCAGAGTCATGAAGTCCCCAAGTTCACTAAAGATGGTTTTCTTTCTGTAAGTATCAATTCAACGGTTATAATATTTTGAATGAAAACCATCATTTTAAAAACATAGTTAAATAGTTCCAACTTAAGACGGTCTTGATTTCCTAGCTATCCTCTTTCTCATCATCTTCTCTCATGGATTTGAAAGTGATGCCTTCCTTTTCCTTGACTCTCTCGATGAAAGCCATGCAACATTCATAGTCTACCTCTCTCTACCACCTCATATGAAGTGGCCCATTATTCTAGATTCATGACATCAAACTGTGTGGGGTTCAGTACCTGGTTCACTGTTAAGGAGTTAATATACTAAATAACTGATAATTGCTTGCCAATGAAAGTCAACATATGAACCAAGACCTACTGCATGGCTCAAATCTTCTTTTTGTATGACTCTCTAGTAGTCGTGTGATAATTCCACAGTCTTTGCAAAATCTCTTGAGGAACCAAAACTTCTAATCTTTGATCTTATTCTCTAGATCAACCAGATGGAACTTTTGAGTTGATACAAAAATCATAAACATCAGGCTCCACTATGAAAAAGATCATATATGAGAAAAGTTTTAGAAACCAAGGAATGACAATCCTCTGCAAGTAGATAACAAAGGTCATCATGTTCGCTATTGAATTTGGTTTTTATCTGCATAATGCTGAATCCATACTAGTTGACAATTGACCATATCTCGTTGTTGAATCCATACTAGTTGACAATTGACCATATCTCGTAGTAGAATGATAGTCAAAGCCACCATCAAAACTATTCCTGATAGAAGAAGAGATCTTCTACAAAGTCATTAATTGCCCTTTCTTTCAGCTCTACTGCCTCGAGTACTATACGTGTGTTGTATACACAAGTGTTTTCTAGTAGCTCCACATCAAGTGACGTAAATGTAGACTTTTTAATGTTCATATAGAGCCAAATAAGTTGTAGAAAATACTTGGAAGCCACGGAAAATGCTTGAAGTAAGTTGACCCAAAGGAGAGACAAAAAATGACTAAAAAGAAGAAAAAGGGAGGTTTGAAATGTGCAAAGCCCATTTTTTGCTTTGACCCTTGTATCTAAGGTATTTAGGGATTTAAAAATGTCAAAATTCCATACTTCGATCTTGAAAATTCACATCAAATCAATGTAAATATCTAAAAAGGAAATGACATAAGATTTTAAAAATTTCCAAAATTAAAATTTTATTCATTGAACATAGAAAATATTTCACATTAAGGTCTTCGGCCAACTAGGCCAATACAAGACCCTGACTCACAATACTTTGATATAAGAGTTACCACTAAATTTGAAATTCTCAATACTCTCTTTCTTCGCTCAAACCTAGAAGATCGAACTAGCCGCCCGGATCACTGTTAGCCCCATCGGGAGAATCACCTTGTCCACTCAGAGAGCTGCCAACTCGGTCATATATTCGAAGTGAAGAGTTGCTAATTCTTCTTTCAGACCTGTTTTGACAATCTCCCTCTATAGACCAGTTTTATTGGTAAAGGAATCCACCATTTCATCCAACCAGCAAGCCATCGATATTTAAGATACTTTACAACCAATGTTGGTCTCCCTTTTAATGTCTTTAGGACTAGATAACCGTTTGGAGACTCTTGCACCGTGTGCCAGAGCAGATGATTCCTCAACTGTCTCTGGAGCCTAGAGATGGCCAATGACCATTATTGATGGATAGATAATCTGTACAGTCTCCTATGCAAGAATAATAAAAAGTAAAAAAAAAAGAATAAATCTACTTAGTCAATGAAAATCAAGTTTTCTCGTACCAATATTTCACTCCATCTTAGACGATTGGAGGATCTCACCAAAATATGGTTGGAAAATTGTCTGGCTGGTCTCACCACTTGAGGAAAAAGAATTTACACCCTCATTCAGTTGGAACCGGGTCTCTATCACCACCTAGATTGATTGTTGAGTTGATCGTTCTCGTATTGGTGTCAAGGCAAGGATGGTCACACCAAAGGCATGTAGGTTCGCCTTGCTCCCCATCTCTTGATGAAGCGACATCGAGTCGAATGACTCAGCCACTTTCTCCAACAACTCTGCCCTTTATTTTATAGAGTTGTTACCCGCCTAGCTTTTCCCTTTGACCTCTTTATTTTTTTGGCCAACCCTCATTCGCCGTGTTTTTCTTTACTATGGGCTGTCTACTCTCCAGTTTTTTTTTCACTTGTGTTCTTCGAAGGGAGGGATTTTCTAGTCAAAATTTCAAATGCCTGCCTCATTTATCGCGTCAACAGGAGACTTATTGCTACTAGCGATGAGTGTAGCTCATGTTAACAACCGAATGAAGGGCATAAAATTCAGACAAAGATAGAGATGTGCTGATCCCACACTACTTATAGGGACTGTGGGTACGAAAATTCAGAAGTTCTATTATTAAAAGTACTTATTACACAATAAATAAGTTATTTTTTGCATTTAATTATCCTATTTCTATCGCATTCGTCTATTTCAAGAAGTAAGAGAATCGATAAACAAAATATGTATATAAAAAATATGTCCGCATGAAGCTCGAGAAACTCTAAAGGATATCACTTAGAAACACAAGAGATAGTATATTAGGATGGTCAAAAGATGCAAACACCAAACATCATTTCTTTCATTAGAAGTTTGAGTCGACTGAATGGAAGCATAACTAAACGAAAAGACATATGACACTCAATTCAGAGGACAATCGTTCATGACCAGCTCCCTTGGATGATTTTGGAACCCCTCATAAAATTGACCAGAGGACATCCCACGAAAGGCCTTTCTGATCATCTGAGAAGGCCACTTCTCTATGAAGAGCTATTCGTTAAATTAAAGAGATACACCCTTTTCCTGACAGTCTAAGTTTACCCCAACAGCAGAAGGGCATCTACTCAGGATTCCATTGAGAGGGTTGATCGATGACTATTCAACAGATCGAATGTCAACTAGCTGATCAAGCTATTGATCAATACAATGACAAGTGTATGGGGCCATTAAAAGCCCCTCTTCAAGCATTATGAATACAAAACAACTTTAATGTTGGTTATGAAAATGAAAGGATGTCAAAGTTGATTACAAATGTTAAAAGTGTCATAATAACTTGTAACGTTTCTATTTAAATAGGGACAAACATATAATTTTACACTAGATATCTTTGAAAATCTATGGTGATTTCTACAATGAATGACTACTGAATTTTCTATATAAAAACAATTGCATTACTGTGCACACAATCTCTCTTTCTCACAATGTTCCTCTTTCACACTCTCTTTGTTTCACTTGTCCGTCTTACATTCAATACCTTTGGTGTGATCAATATATAT